ATGAGAGAAATATCCTCTTCTGAATCAATTTCTACTAAATTTGCCGAGGCAGTTGTGCCTTTTCAATTCGGGCTTATATTATCCATTTGGTGCACAATTAATTTGAAATCGGATAAAGAGATATATGGGAGCTATATCCAAATCTGAACCGATCTCTATAAAATTTGGCAAAGATATTTCTGAGCTGTATTTTATATATTTCCCTTAATTTCGTTACTACGGTGTGCATATTACGGCTGCGGAGGACAAATTCAACAAATCGGATGAACAATATATATGGGAGCTATAGCTGGACCGATTTTCACCAAATTTCACATACTTTTTTCTAGGCTCAATTTGGTTGTAACTTCCAAATTCCAATTCATTTGGGCAAATATAACACGTTTGGTGCACCATAAAAGGCAAATCGGACAAAGATATATATGGGAGCTATATCGAAATCTGAAAAATAAAATTTTGCAAAGGTATTTCTGAGCTGTATTTGATATATTTCCCCAAATATCGTGGTTACAGAGTGCATATTACGGCTGTGGATGACAAAAATAGGGAGCTGTAGCTATGTATATCTAAACCGATTTCGATAAAATTTGGCATACTTATTTAAGGCCTAAAATTCCATATTTGGGCTGGGATTACACGTTTGGTGCACAATAAAATGCAAATCGGACGAAGATATCTAAGGGAGCTTCATAAATCGTTTCAGATTGTGATTCTATGCAGATCATAAAAAGGAATTATGTTTCCATCTCGTTTCCTTTTGCCTGTTACAAACAAATGCTCAAAGACATAATACCCTGACTACCTTGTGGTGTAGACTATAACAAAAAATTAAAACAAAAGAAAAAAATAAAATACAAAAGAAAAATTAACGTAATTTCCATTTTTGGTTAAGCAAACTTTCAACCTACTTTACCATACAGGTGTTTTTGTTTTAACTTTTAACAACATTGGTTTTTCTATACAATCATTTGTACTATATTTATTTACATATGCCACGAGCAAATAAAGGTAGCAGGAAATTAACGTTTCAGAAACATATGTTTTATATGTAAAAAATATACACATGTATATTTTAAATCGGCTAATTACTATAACAACCAGTCCTACAGATTTTGATATATTCGATCTATTTCCATTATGTCAAATCTGAATGTATCAAATATATAGTTACTCAAGCAATGGAATAAAAGAGGTGTTAAAATATTGAAAAATGATTTCGGGCGGGGTAAAGCCATTGAAATTCCAAAAAGTGCAAGATCTTACATCGCAACAGCAAGAAAATAGACTCAAAAGAGCCAAAGAGTTGCTTCGCTTGGCCGAAGGTGGTGAACTGCCGAATTTTTTCTCCGATAAAAGAAAACATTCGTCAGCTGAAAATGTGCACCTTCGGTTGGCCACCAGAACTCAAGCGCCGGCCATGGTGATGTTGTGGCCCGCCATAATAGTCGATGATCGCTCTATGTTCGTATTAATCGACCGTGGCATCAGCATTTATGCCGAATATTATCGGGAAAATATTCTGGAGGGTGTATTAAAGTCTTGGGCACGCAAACATTTTGGCCGCAGATCTTGGACATTTCAACAGGAATGGACAAAATGAGGTTCCTCGCTTCATTTCTAGCACTAAAATAATATCCGGCATCAGAATAAATGCCGAATATTATCGCGAAAAAATTCTGGAGGGTGTATTAAAGTCTTGGACACGCAAACATTTTGGCCGCAGACCTTGGACATTTCAACAGGAATGGACAAAATGAGGTTCCTCGCTTCATTTCCAGCGCACAATGGCCACCAAAATTTCCGGATACCAATCCGTTGGACTATTGTGACCTTAGAATAAATGCCGAATCTTTTCGCGAAAATATTCTGAGGGGGTGTATTAAAGCCTTGGGCAAGCAAACATTTTGGCCGCAGACCTTGGACATTCCAACAGCACCTCATCAGCACCATCGCATTCAGCACGCGCCACCCAAGAATGGTTACAAAATGAGGTTTCTCGCTTCATTTCCAGCCACAATGGCCACCAAAATCTCCGGATACCAATCCGTTGGACTATTGTGTCTGGAAAGCAAGGTTGGCACTAAAAAATACCAAATTGTATTTCCATTATGTCAAATCTGAATGTATCAAATATATAGTTACTCAAGCAATGGAATAAAAGAGGTGTTAAAAAATAGAGAATGATCTATCAAATCTAATGGAGTTCATACTCCACTGAGTACCATGCACAACAAGTGGTAAATTATTGCATTAAATTACCTGAAAATTTCAGGACTTTTGGACAGATATTGGCCATTTGTTGCACAATTAACCATAAATCGGTTGAAAATATATATGGGAGCTATATCCAAATCTGATCCGATTATCAATTTCAAAAGGGTTCGTCCTTGGGCCAAGCAAAAGTTGTTTAAAAGTTTCATCTCAATCGGATAGTAAATGCGACATCTGCATTGCAAGGGTGAAGAGATATCTGCTTTGAAAACATTATTTACTATTCGACTTGTATGCAAGTCCTGGTACACCGAAAAAACATTGCTATATTTCAAATTCTAACTATTTTGTAGCTAATTTAATATTGAAAAGATTAGCCACTTATACTTTGCCCTTTACATAAGTGTCCAACTCAAATTGAATCATTGATGATTCATATATTTCAAAGTAAAAAACAATCAATATTTAACAAAACCAAAAAAAAAATTATCTTTTGTCAACCGCAACTATGCTTTCTGATAGTTGCGGTTGACAAAAGCCTCAACAATTGTCTAGATCCATGTGTCTTATTTTCATCTAAAGTGAAAAATATACAGTTTGTTTACTTAATAGCTATTTTTTCTCAATGCACATAATCTTATGATCGCCCATCACAATCAACAAGTATTGTGACGGATGTATGGCGTTCATTGTAAATAGAAACATATCAAACAGCACAGGCCTCTAATTCATTTAGGCACCGAAAAAATGTTGTAGGTTAATGTTAAATGAAAAGGTCAATAAACGGCCCAAATAGTCAATGTTTGGGCTAGACATGAAAAATCGAATGTGTGCATGTCGCAGCCATAAAAGAATCAAATGAATCTGAGGGTAAATTGTGACTACTTGTTTGTTTACGTTTTTTTGTTTTTTTTTTTTTTCTTTTTGTTATGTTTGTTGCATTCAGTTGTATCAGCATGTGAAGATGATACACCGCTAGCATAATAAGATAGCTGCACACACACGTACACCCACTCCCCCAAAGGTAGTGAATAATTATCAATTTGACACGTCAAGAGGGCTGGCTAGAGCTAATAAAGCATCACTGTAACAAAACAGAAAAAAGGAAAGCCACCTACCACAAAATGTAGCCCTAGACCTTAATAAACAATATAAACATAGTATAAGCAACAATTGCCAAATATTAAAATGTAAACAAAATATTTTTTTAAATTAATAACTGATAACGAGATAGCAATAGGATTTCTGGAAGTTTGCACAAACACATCTATGTGAAGATTTGCTAAATGAAACAACAACGTCATATCAAAAATATAAACTACTCACCTAATGTCATGTCAATATTTTCACTGGTCAAAGATACGGCCCCGCTATCTGCGGGATGATAGAACACATATAATATCTGCAATTAAAAAAAATGGAAAACATTTACAAAATTTGTGGACACCACTAACAATGGAAGCAAAAATAATTTTGTTTTATTTTGGCATAAACAAAAACATTAGTTTGTAATGGTGTCGTACGCCATCTGGACCGGCTGGTTTGGTTAAATCAATGTGTATGACATTTCTCCACGTATACGTGGTGTTTCTTTTCTCTAAAGGGTAGCAATTTTCACTGCCAACCGATCCGACTGCATTGACGTTGGATTTTCTTGCGCCCGCCTCATAAACAAATACTTACCATAAATACCGCCGTGTAATAACATTTTCGCAGATTCCACGCTCTCATTTCTTTGTATTTTTTCTGTAATTTGCGGGTGGTTAAACTTAGAAAATTAACTTAACTTCTAGAAAATTAACGTCTAAAGTATTGTGGGTAACTTTTTTATGCCCTGCACACATTAAACACTAGGGATACTCAGTGTCGACTTTTGACTAATCGAATAAAACAGTCGATAGTCGGAAGGAAAAATTTGAAGGCAAAATAAAAACGTTCCAATGGTCGTTATAATATGTATAATATTCGACCGGTTTTATATTGTGGTCAAATATCAAGATGTGGTAGAAGTATATAGATAGACACATCGACACAGATTCTAGGACAATGAACTGTCAAACCAATTTTGGAATTAAGAAATGTTGAATGAAAAATTATTTTAATTTGCAAAAAATGGTTGGAAAATGCGAATAATAATAACACCCGAATGACGTCATATAAGAAAACATATAAAAATCTACATATATTTTAAATAACAGTTAAAATTTTTTTACATATCAATGTTCCCAAGCTTTGATGCATCTACCAGTATTCTTCAGCCATTATGGATATCCGCTCTGAATTCTATTCCCATGGAATGTTTTTTTCTTAAGGTATCTTTTCTCCGCTAATGGGCCTTTTTTATGCATTGGGTGTCTATTTGCGGTAAATATTAAACAACTTAAACAACGTTGCGTAATTAACTCTAGTTATACCTAGTTTTGGAAATTATTGTCCTGTTTCAGAATATGCAAGAATCTACTTGCTTTGCAAATTGGTTCGACATCCTAAAGAGAAAATCGATTATAGTAGCACAAATTTTTACATTCATGCAGTTCTGGAAGGAAACACATACATTAATTAAATTTTTTGAACCAACTCTTCCATTTGTAAGCCCAATTTGATAATAACTAATGTTTTTCCTCCACAAAACAAAACTTAATTACAAAGTTGAGAAACTAATTATTATGATCCTTTGTTTACAAATTCTGTCTTTTTCAATATATTTTAAGCAAATATTTTTATGTACGTAGGATTAAAAATAAAACTAAAAAATATCCTAAAACAAAAAAATTTAATGAAAATCTTCGTTGTTTTTATTTTTAACTTCGTGTTTTATTTGCATTAAATACAAGTCGATAACAATTAATAACGTATAAATTCATTTCACAGAAGATGTATAAATATTCAGAATGTGATGTTTAGGAGGTAGCATTGTTTTTCTGAAGTTCGTTCATTCATTTGATTCTTTATATCAAAAATAATTATTACAATAATTATAATCATATGATGAATATAATCGACTAACATATTGTGATACTCTTATATTGAATGTATTAACCACATCTAAACCGATTGATATGCGTATCTTCAGAGATGGTACCAATAATACTGTCAAAGGTTTTGTGTATCCATTATAACCAACATTTATGCGTACCGTGCCCACAATATCATTTATTTGACCATCAGCTGTTCGAATATATGGCTGGTAGCAGGGAAATATTTCCAGGCCGTTTCTTTGGACAAAATCCAAACAACCCATTCCCAAACATGTTACTGTTGTACCGGTATCAATGAATCCACGAAAATACCACCCGTTTATATATAATTCAATGCAATTTGCTCCATTGTGATATTCACTGATAATAGCTCTAGCGATATTTGGACAAAATTGCTTTCTCTGTTTAAATCGATCTTTTGATTTGGAGATTGTCTTAGTTACTTTAGTTTTTGTCGTATTTTTATTATTGTTGTTTAGGTCTTTAATTTCTTCGTTTTCCTTGTTTGCCACAGTTTTTAATTCCTTTAGTACATCATCAGTTAAATCCGACAAGATTTCTTGCAATGTAACAATCAAGTCATCATGCAAAGAATCTTCATTTTTATTCGAATTCTGAACCGTTTTTGGTTGTTTACTATTATGACATAAGCTTGTTTCCTTTTCTGTTGTTGTTGTAGTCCTCGACATTGTTTTTGGCTTTTTTCTTCTATTATTAGGGGAGAGGTTTTAATTACTACAATTTAGAAATTATTCCAATTAGAAATTATGGGTTTCTGCAAAAATGTAAAAAAAAAATCGATTTCACTTTCAAGGGTTAATAAGCTGTACGCTTTTTATTAAGGTTTCAAGGCTAGAGCAATTACTCAAGAAACGATTACTCGATTACCTCAACAAATTGCCGCCAATGAGAAGGGATTTTTATTTTTTTATATAGTTAAGATTACGAAATTCAATTTATATTCGTGTAAAAAAACTATATTTTGATAATTTTTTAAATATTACATACCAAGAAAAATGAATGTTAACCGATCTTTTGAAGTTTTCCCGGAATTATTTAAAGAAAACTTTTCTCACAGAGCCGGCTGCTACTTTTGATTGACTTGGAATAGGGATATGTTAGTCGACTTTCGATTGATAGATTAATCGACTTTTGCCTTGTGGGAATATCGATTTTGTGTCATCTACTAAATATAGTCCCGAAAGTTTCGTTCACTGAATAGCTCTTCTGAACATTGATTTCAAAAGTGTTGAAAGCTTTTAATTTTTATTTAATTTCACAAGCTAAAATTTCCTTCATACTCTTAGTACACAAAGAAAAACAACATGGTTATGTGGCATGGAGTAAGGAAATTCGGCGTTGTTGCCTTGGGAACTGGTGCCGGTCTGGGTGCCTATTATTATCAAAAATTGCGTGACAATCAACAAAATGTACAAATGTCATGGACGAATAGCGACAAGCCGGTTAATGCTTGTGCGCTCTGGGATAGTAATTGGGATTGTAGAAGCCCCAGAAGTTTGGTAAAGCCTGTCAAGAATGATACACCCCAGGAACAGAATCGTTATAACAGCGAACTGGAGAAGGCCACCCCAAAAGTTGCACGTCACATAATTCTTATTCGACATGGAGAATATCTGGATTTGGGTGATACAGATGAGACACATCGTCTGACGACAAGGGGTCGTTTGCAAGCCCAATATACGGGTAAACGTTTGCAGGAATTGGGCATTAAATGGGATCGAGTGATTGCTTCTACCATGACTAGGGCTCAAGAGACTTGTGATATAATTTTGAAGGAAATTGATTTTGATCCCAAGGATGTGAAGCATTGTGCGTTCATAAGGGAAGGGGCACCCATACCGCCACAGCCGCCGGTGGGACACTGGAGGCCAGAAGAATCGGTGAGTTTTATTGAAAAGTAAGAAGCTTTTTATTTACAATTGCTCTTGTTCTTTCATGATGACTACAATGCAGCAGTTCTTCCGTGATGGTGCCCGCATTGAAGCCGGTTTCAGACGCTATTTCCATCGCGCCTCGCCCTCCGATAAACATGATACATATACCCTAATTGTGGGTCATGGCAATGTTATACGCTACTTCGTTTGTCGTGCGTTGCAATTCCCACCCGAGGCATGGTTGCGTATATCCATTAATCATGCTTCCATAACATGGTTGACCATACAACCTTCGGGAAATGTTAATATAAAATATTTAGGAGATACTGGTTTTATACCCGCCCAATATCTAACGAATCGCATACCACGTGATGCCAAAAATATAGTTTAGGTTTGAAAATCCTTAAACAAAAAACAAACAATATATTGTTGCATTAAAAATAAGCGTAGAATAGGCATTAAAAGTTAAAATTTAGGATGCAAAATTGTTTTTTATAATTAAAAAAAGAAAGAGTAAAGTTTTTAAAAATATTTATATAAAAATAGAGAGTCTCAAATTGTTATTTAAAAAATAAAGTTATATAATATTGTTCTGTTTCTTATGTAGATTGGAAAAATTAAAAAAACCTGTATTTAAAAAATAATTTAATAGCGTTTAAGAAAAATGGAACTGCCAGTTATTAAGATGTACACACCCTTACTGGGATAATATATTCCGAATTTTTAATAAACAAAAAAAACTGTTTTTAAAACTTAAATAAATATAAGTATTTTTCATTGGCAGAGACTTTTCATAGCCTCTTGTCGGATAACTTTTGGGGAAGCTTTTTTTTGAATCACTAGAACAAAGAAAAATGTTAATTTTTATAAAATAAAAAAAATAAGAATAAAAGCCTGTCACTCGTGCCAATTAGAATGACCTTGTCATAAAAACTCGGTCCTTTATTATTTTCATGTAAATCTGAGATTTTTTTTCATTCCATTCCGTTTGTAACTCTTCGAAATTATAATTTTAGACTCAACAAAGACGCTTTAAAGACAGGAAGCTAAAATTAGCACCGATCTACATTTTATCTGCAGTCAGGTCAAGTTCGAAGATGGGATATATCGATCCATGACTTTTACCTCCCAATATTTGGTATATTGACGATTTTAGCCAGATTTCTAAAGGAATTGTCTGAAATACTACAAAAGGAGTTACCCCCTGATAGAGAATTGTCTATTGTCCCATACAATGGTGCCCTCCGCCCCGATGTTCCGTATTTCGTTGATTCTAGCCATATTTTCCAATAGAATTGGCTTAAAATCCGCACAAAGAGTTCCTTCTGTGTACTTATCCCCCTGAAAGAGAACTGTCTATATAGGTCCGCGTATAACCCCCATACATTGGTGCCCCCGATAATCGATATTTTGATGATTTTAGTCACATTTTTCAATGGAATTGACTTAAAACACACATGGAATTGTTTCCGAGTACTTATCCCCCTGAAAGAGTATAGTCTACATAGGTCCACGATATCGTATAGCCCCCCGATATTCGGTATTTTGACGATTTTAGCCACATTTGTCAATGAAATTGGATAAAAATTTTCACAAGGAGTTCCTTCCGAGTACTTATCCCCCTGAAAGAGAATTGTCTACATAGATCTACGTTTTAGTAACGTTAACCCGAGGTAGCGTTAGGATTTTTGCGACATTATTCACCGGAATTGCGTCAAATTTCATATTTGAAGTTCGAAATGGGTACTACAACCTATGACGGAAAACTGTCTATGCAGGTCTACGTCTTGGCGTAACCCCACACACAACGGCACCTCCCTTTATTCGGTATTTTGTTGATATTAGCGACATTATTCATCGAAATTGCGTCAAATTTCGAATTTGAAATTCGGAATCGTTACTACAGCCTAAAATAAAAAATTACTTATCCAGCACCACGTCTTCGTATAGCCCCCATATAAAGGTTGTTTTTGTAATTTTTTTAGTTCTTTGCCAATGGTGGAGGGTATATAAAGTTGGGCCGAACTTAGTTGCTTTTTTTACTTGTTATAGCTGTTTTCGTTTATTTTAAATAATTTGCAACATTTGCACTTTGAGGTTAGGTTTGATTATTCTCAAAAGTGGCTACTTTTGTTTAGCCCACTCCGTTTGTTTTTTTATCTGATATTTATTATTTACATATTTTATTATATAGTATTGCCGAGTAATCCAAAAATAGAATTTTTTATTCGGGACGAATTTGAAAATTTTAGCTTTAAGTTTATGTCCAAATAAACCTAAATATTTAGTATTTTATTCAAAATATTACATAAGTTTATACCTAGATAGCCTTGGTTATGTGTCGTTTTCTTTAAAATATTTTATTTGGTATTGTCCATGGACTTTCGTAGTCCATATAACATCCGACTTTTTCTAGAATATTGGGTAAGTTGCATATGCATCTTTGGGTCTGTTCCAGCACTGCTAGAATGTAAAAAATGTTTACTACGATAACCGATTTTCCCTTTATGATAGCGAAAAAGAATGCAAAACTAGTAGATCCTAGCAAGATTCTGGAACAGATTCAGGAAAATTTTCCTAAAAATAAATATTTCTTTACGTTATCAACCATTTTCATTGCAAAATATTTATATTTTGCCTTCTGGATTCCAATTATGTGCCAATACATTTATTTTTTATATAAATCCTATAAGCTACTATATCAACTTTGCCCAGAAATTATGCTATATATAATACATTTTTGAAAATCATTGTAAATTGCTACAATTTTATTTAATTTTGTATAATAAAACTTCAAAGGTTTTGATTTTTTTTGTATTTATTAAATCTTTTTAGAGATAAAACACTCATATGTAAACTATAATTTAATTCAAGAATATGTTAGTTATACATGTTTGTATTTTTTATTTTGAGAGAATTTTTGAATTAAATGCTTCAACATGGGCCTATTAAACACGCTGAGAACGTTGACCGAAAGAGATATCATTCCATTTCCACCTTTTTTAATGTGGCTAAGTCCTATGTCCCGATGTCCCAACTGTGTTCATGGCCTGTAGTCGAAATTCCAGCAGCCAGAATTGTTATTGCACATCTTTATTTTAGTTAAATATTGAAATTTCTTCATTACTTTTTTTTTAATATTTGACACAGATTGTAGAGGGGGCGTTTGGGCACTTTATTTTTTGTATTCGTTGTAAAAAGCTTAAAATTAATAAAGAATTGAAGGCGAAAAAAAAGAAAACTAATAACAACGATGACAATATGGTGGTTTTGGGACCAACAATAAGCACAAATAACTAAATAAATATCAATTGCATTTCTGTGTGTGTGTTAAACTTTTAAGGCACTTATGTTAGAGGTTTTGTTTGTTTTTGTTCTTGTTGTTGCTTTTTAAGTAGAAACAAATGATAAAATTGTAAAAAAAATAGAAACCTATACAAATTTATACGATTTTCCACATTCATGTTTTGTTTAGTATTGATACCAAGGCTGGCGACGCACCCATTGTAGGCGATTGGTGTGATCGGAACGAATCTTAATGCTAGCACCCTCAGCAGCGCGGACAGTTTCTTTGACCTGGAAATAAGAATATTATAGAAATTAAAAAGGTAACAGAAATTAAAATAGAATTCGAATACTAAATTATTTGCAACTTCTAATGTGTTGCTTGGAGCGAAAACGTTCTTTTTCTGACTCTACTTTAAAATACACTTACACTTTGCATAAGATTTTGGGCATTGCCAACCAACATTTCGGTAGCCTCACGATCTTCATCTGATCCCTGGGCACCCAACATTGTGGCCTTAACGGTGGACAAGATTTTCAATTGTGTACCAATTGTGGGTATACGTTCACAAACTTGCAACAGATTTGTGCGTATACGACGATCGGTACATTGTCGGGCCAATTCCTTGGCCAAGCGTGTAACATCCTCGGAAGCTTCGGCAATTTGTTTAGCGGTGGCAATCAGCTCACGTTTGCTGCCACGCGAATCGGATTGTACTAGATCAGAAAGACGGGCCATAAGGATGGCCATTCTCTTGGCAGCGGCAATAATTTCGTTGTCCTTCGATGACCATTGACGGACTTCTTGGTGAAGGCCACGGGCAGCAATCTACAGAAGGAGAATAAGTATTAATAAAACAAAAATAGTATTAATAAGTATTAATAAAACATTTAAGTACATTTTATGTAGAGGCTCAAAATATGATGCTACATGATCGCCTATTTTATATGTAAGTGACTTCAAAGACCTTAAGATGTCTACATTACCTGAAGCCTGAAATAATCCACATAAAGCTAATTTAGAAGGTTAATGTTTTTGCACATTTTAAAGTGCTCTCAACCTAGGCGCCTAAAAATATGCTAAGAAAATGCAAAATTTAATTGTGGGAAAAATCTACTTTACTGCTTGTGTAGATATGCCTTAAACGAAACCTGGGCCTCAATTCTTGTTCTATGAAAATGTGAAATGAAAATATTTATAAAGGGAAGAAATGTCAAATGAAAAATTTTATAAAGAAAATATTTTTCATTTCATATTTTCATAGAAAAAGAATCCAGCCCCTGGAGGTGGCATTCTTATTATGGAACATGTCCTTTATGAGTTCTAAAGTTCTGATGTTGTCTATTGTTGTATCTAATGCCATGTGAAACTATATTTTTAGTGGCTATAATAAAATAAAAAAAAAATTAATCAAATGATGCACATTTCTTGACCAGGCTCTTTGTTAGCATCTTTATGTTCGACCAAGAAAACCAACATGCAATTCTATAACAACCAGTATACGTGGTGAGTAAAATTCTAGCTTACTCTCTCTTTCTCTCCCCTTATGCATAAATATCACTAAAATGACTATATGAAAATTATTCGGGATTTACAAACCCAAATTTTCATAAAAGACAAACAATGGGGACGATGGAAAGAAAAATGTTTATTTTCCTCACCCGCCTTTCACCATAGGCTCCCTATTTCTAACCGTTTTCCACTAAAATAATTTCCTGCATCTGCTTCCCGCGTAAAATGAAAATGTCATTGATGTAGGGAACACTACACTCAATATGAACTACATTATAGGGTACTAGAGGCTGACTAAGGGAACTAATGAATTCTTTATATTTAGGAAAGTTTACCTTGACGAAACTTTCATCTTCGTAGATTGTAGTTAGTTTATGATGCTGTGAGTACAGTTGGATCCCATCAAAATGAATTTAAGGTTAAGTCCAGTTGTGAATTCTTCATTACTATTGTCTTAAGCTAAATAACTGATTGAGTTTACTTTATATTTTTAATGTGAAAAATATTGCGGCGTATTTTTTTTTAGAGGTTAAGTAAGGCTGGAAATACATAAAGCGCATATTTGGCTGGCTTCTTCGTAGATGAACAAAGGAGTTTTAGGTTGACCTAGTTCGATTTTGGCCCTAGGCTCCTTTGTTCATTTCCGAAGAAGCCAGCCGATGACTTAAGCCAGCCAGATAAGCACTTTATGTATACCCAGCTTAAGTTTGCGACTCTTTTACACCGGCATTTAAATAACGTGTTTTACGAAGATTCCTAATTTATTTGACGTCTAATGAAAGAAATTGACAAACTAAGTGACAAAATAAAGCCTTTAAATGATTAAATAAATAATAAAGCCTTTAAAGGATTAAATAAGACCAGTGCCTTTAAATTATCTATTCCATTTTCCAAATTAACCAGACCAAAAGCTCTTATGTAAACATACTACAAGGTCTAAACAATTACTTTTTAATTTGAGGTTAAGTTGCAAAATATATCACTTTCACCAGACTATTTCATTAAGTTTTGGGAATCTACAATTAGGACTACTTAACATTGAGGTTAGGTTGAAATTTTTTTCAATCAATATAGGTCTACGATATCGTATAGGCCCTATATTCCGTATTTAACGACATTGTTTCTAATTTCGGAATTGTTTCTAATTTCGTATTTGAAGTTCCTAATGGGTACTACAGCCTGTTTTCTAAAAGACATATATTTCTTTATATAAAATAAATTTACACCGCCCTCTTTTTCAAAATTATAGCTAGTTTAGATTTGAACTTAAAAGGGAATTTTGAATTTCGGCATCAGTTTTTTATTCAATTCTATTTTTTAAGGCTATCCCCCCTAAATCTGTTTCATTTTTCCTTTGAGAATTTGAGGGTATGTCCCTCCCTATAAGTTACAACTTTGAAAATATCGGGAAAGAATGCCTAAAAACTTACCAAAATAGGTTGATTAGCATGTGGCATTGTACGGAAGACACCCTCATCTTCATCATCGGTTTCTGGTGGTGGTGGACGTTGTGGGGCCAAACCTTCACGTGGTAGTGGTGGACGGGGTGGAGCACGTTCAGCTGGAAAAGAAATTTGAACAATTCAAAATTAGGGTTTCTCAAAACGTCTGTAGGCAGATTAGAGCAAATTTTTCATGTGCACTTTTTTTTTAGAAAAAAAGAAGAGGCAGCCAGTACATTTACGGACACATAAGCAACTTGGCATATTAATGTCAAATTATAAGTTACAACAATGGCCCATATTAGGTCGGCTTAGAAGCCTATTTCTGGCGATAGTTTGACAATTTGTCAGATGGGCTTACTGGTCAACTTTAAGCAGCTGTCAGACAATAAAGGGTTTACATATGTGCTGCCATTTTATCCATGGATATGTGAAAATAACCATTTTTCGATGAAAATAGGGCTCACTAAGATCGAAAAAGTAAATATGTACTTTACTCATGTATTTCACAACTGATATGTCGTTCATGTATCACACGATGTGTGCCACTTCTACATATGGGTAATTTGACACTACATATGTAAAACCCTTATCGTCTGATACCAGCTTCATATGGGGACAACGACGGCAGAAATGGAGTGCGACTCCGATATTCTTTTATAATGTGTCACTAAATAAGCCATGCGAAGATGTCAAGCTGCTTATGTATCCTTAATTAATCCTGTGAAATCCTTTTTTTAGCAGCATTTTCAAAAAAATTTATTTCGGCGAAGCCTTTGTGGGATGAAAAACAAACCTACCATTTTGATTGGACAAATGCATGGCACTGAATTCTGGAATTGGTGGTGGTGGCACCTCGGGCAATGGTGGTGGTTGGGTTGGAGCAATGGCATTGCGTACATCCTTGACATCACCCAGTAACTAAAGAGAAATAAAACAAAAGAAAATTATTTAAAAAATCCAGAGAAATTGTAAACTGACAGACAATCCAACTCACCCTTTGGAATGACGCCTTCCAGGCATGGGCAGCAGCCGGATCATTTATGTTGGTGGCCACGCGCTTGGCATCCAACACCATGGCAGGCAGGGAACTTTCCAAACGATTTGCGGCCGCATTCAAAGTTGCTGTATATTGCGGATCTTCCGAATTATCGGCCTCCTGTTTGGCCACCAGCAGCACACGATTTATCAGACGGGCAATGTTGGAAGTGTTATCGACCATTTTCTGTGGCTGCTTGCCATGTATGGCATCCTCACAGAGCTTGGCATACATTTGCATATGTTCCTCGGAGGTTTTAATGAAATCCGCCGGATCAGTGGCCTGATCGCAGACGGTACGCATGCGCAGCACGGTATCGGCATATTGTTGTTTGAGATTTTGCAAATGTTCATCGGCTGCCTTGCTGGTGGGATAGTTCATGCGAATGCGGCCGGCATTAACGAGTTGGGGTGTTAGCGAATCCACCTGGGTAGCGGAGGAGAGCAAAATTTCGGCAATTTTCTTGTTGCCACAGGCGCCACCGGCCGCCACCATACGTGAAGTTTTGGAGGCACGATCTGAAAAGGCCTGAAGGTTGTTGGATTTCTGATTGAAATTTTGTTCCCGACCAGGGGTGCCTTCCGGCAGCATTACCGCCTCGGTGAATTGTTTCAGCGGCGTGCTCACATCCATAAAGTCCTGGACAATGCGATTGACCAAGGCATTTTGGACAGCGGCCTTGAGTTCGTGCAGCTTGTGGGTCAATTTCTTGGCTGCCTCCTTGGCAGCGGGGCTATTGCCGGCTGCCTGTCGCTTCAGACGTTCCACCTCATCACAGAGCTGCATAATTTCGGCCTTTTGATGGCCTGGACAGCCCTCGGCAACCTTACGGCCCTCTTCGACTATTAAATTGACAGCACGCTCACCCAAGCCGCCATCATTGATTTCGGGGTGTTGCAACCATTTGACGGCCTGCTCCAAACGACCCTGAATTGTGTGGGCTGTCTGCTGTACTCCGGCCTTGTCCACACCCACTACGGCATTTTGTATTTGCGATTGCAATTCTCCCAATTTTTCACGAATGCTACGGGCCAGCGATTCAGCCTGGGGTGAAGTGCCCTTACCCTCCTGGCGCAGTTCACACAGGCTATTGGTCATGGCTGCAATTTCATCGGCTGTCCGGCGAATGGGATAGGAATCTTGGGGCAAGCAACGTTCGGATATTTCATTGGCATTATCGATTATTTGTCGCAGAGCTTTTTCTCCCACGCCCCCCTTCAGGGCATAGGGGTTGTTCAGCCAATCATTTGCCAACTCCGCCTTGGTATTGACCGCATTGCTCAACTTCTTGAGGACCGTAAGATTATCCAGCTCACTGGTATCCTCATCGTAGGTGGTCAATTGTAGCACCCGTATGATTTCCTGGATTTCATCACTCATCCTTGAGGCCAAATAGTTACGATTCTCGGCCGCCTCTTCCACCCCCTTGCCCTGCTGCTCGACAATGTGAATGTACACCTTCATGCTGCATATCAGAATGGGCGCCAATATCTTGACTTGTTCCAGGCAACGCACCAAAATCTCACTATGCACCTGATGGGTCAGCTCCTTTTCACGGGCACTCACCTCACGCGACACTTTGCTCAGGCAGGGCGATAAATCCTTGAGGAATTGCACCAAATCTTCCATTGTATTAATGACCTCGGCCACGGCCAAATAGTCTAGCACCCGCTTGCACTCCTGGATGATTTTACGCACCTCCGACTCGTCGAAGCAGAGCAATAGCGACGAGGTGCCTTGCAGTATACCGCGGCTTCCCTCAATTAGTTTTTTGCGTGCCGGCCCTGAATATGGATCGGCCCGCAACATATCGGAAGCTTCTTCGAGTAACTGCGAGGCAGTCTCGACGCGATTCAATGCGGCTGGCATATCTTGACGCAGGATATTGTCATCGGAACTGTTGATGGTGTCGCGACCCACTTTGACCAGATTGGTGACGGCAGCCGATACCACCTGGACGGGACGGCTAAGATCGGGCATGGCATTGCCATCTTCGGCTTCTTCGTGAAGAATGACCAGGCGAGATACCTGTAAGGGGAGAGATAAAAAAAGATGGCAAATGTTAAAAAATAAATAATTTTGTGAAAGAAAATTGAAGAAAAGAGAGGGAAAGAAATGACGAATAATTAAAATTTTAGGAGATAAAATTGAGGAAATTTGGAGAAAAAAAGGAAGATCAAGAAAGAGAGGGAGAATGGAAAATTATGGGGGAAAATATTTCCTTAAAAATCTGACATTTGGCAGTTGACATATGACAGCTGTCATTTGACAGCTGAAATTTGAGAGTTGACATTTGACAGCCGACTTTTGACATATAACATTTGATAATTAACAGCTGACATCTGAAATTTGACAGTTGACGTATGATATTTGATAGCTGTCATTTGACAGCTGACATACAGTTGACATATGACAGCTGACATTTTACAGTTGATATATAACATTTGAGAGTTAACAGCTGAAATTTGACAGATGAAATTTGACGGTTGACATATGACAATTATCATCTGACTTTTGACAGTTATCATATGACAGTGATAGTTGACAGCTGACAATGACATTTGACAGTTATCAGATGACATCTGAATTTTGACAGTTATCATATGACAGTGACAGTTGACAGCTGACATTTGACAATGACATCTGACATTTTACAGTTGACATATGACAGCTGACATTTTACAGTTGATATATAACATTTGAGAGTTAACAGCTGACATTTGACAGCTGAAATTTGACATATGACAATTATCATCTAACTTTTGACAGTTATCATATGACAGTGATAGTTGACAGCTGACAGTTGACAATGACAGTTGACCATGACATTTGACAGTTATCAGATGACATCTGAATTTTGACAGTTATCATATGACAGTGACAGTTGACAGCCGACATTTGACAATGACATCTGACAGTTGACAATGACATTTGACAGTTGACAGCTGAAATTTGACTCCTTGTCAAAGGGTCATTTGCCCCATGTCAAAAGGTCATTGACCACATGTCTAATGGTCACTGACGCCATGTCAAAAGGTCATTGATCCCCTTGACAATGACATGTGACAGTTGACATAGAAAATTTGACTTTAGGCATTCCGTCTGTATAGAGTCTTTAACGAAACGTAAACAGCTTGGCATCATCGAATGTCAGAGCCGTACTCGAATCCTGCTGTCGTTCTCTTTATAATTTACCGTTCATGAGCAAGGCGACGCGGCCAAGCTGCTTACATATCATCACCTTAAATCGCACAGTTCTGATTATATTTCTGAATTGAATGTGTCTAAAGGTGAAAATATATAAAAATGCTTTTTGGCTGGCTTAAGTCATCGGCTCTCTTCTTCGGAAAAGAACAAAGGAGCATAGGGACAAAATCGAACTAAGACAACCTAAAATTCTATTGTTACTCTATCGCTATTGTGATATGAATAACTTTGACTTAAGCCAGTCAAAAACAAGACGATAATGTACTCTTACCTTAAGTCTTCTATGCATAGAAGACCTCAGGAAACTCCCCCCAGCTAGTCCCATAAATCCCCCCCAACCTATGGGCTCAAGACTCTCTAGTCTCATGCTCATCTAACATTAATGGCCCATAAATAATGGCTGCCGCTGAATGGATCTTGTCCAACATAATTTATAATCCAAGGCATTGGAATACCAACGATTTTTATGTAAACAAAAATCCACAAAATTAGAAATAAAAACTTGAAGAAAAAATATTTAATTATTTTTAGTCTAAACGTAACATTTGGCATTCGATCAAAATCATAAACATAACACAGGATGGGGCACAGTGGCTAGAAATGAATTGCCACTGGTGTCCAAAGCGAAAAGGTCTAATGTAAACATACTATAAGGGAAGAATGAAAGAACACATCCGAGGTTGCTATGATGAACATTTTTCAAAAGATTTTAAATATTTCAATAATTTTTCATTCAAAATTTTCAATTCTAAAATTGGTTTGACAGTTCACTGTCCCAGCAGCTGTGTCGATGCGACTACCTGTATTCTTTTACCATGAAAACAATGTAGGGTTATATAGTTCAAATTAAGGGTCGAAATCGAACTAAGTGAACCTATGCTCTATTAGTCTTTTAGGAAACGACAGCTGATGCCAGACAAATCTTGCCTCTCTACCTTATAACTTCAATCCAATTTTTTCGGACATTTTTACATTTGAACCAAATTTTTTTAAGAAAAAAAAAAAAAAAAAAACGAAAACATGCCCAGTGTTCATCTATAGCTCCGCGGCAATTGGAATGATGCCATGGGACAGCGTCATTTTTAGTTGGCGACTAGAAAAAAAAGCCCAACATCTCGTCGAATTTCTTTTTATAAAGATCATATTGGCAAGCAGCATATGGACATTGAGTTCATTCAAGCGAAAGGTGGGCGGTGTGCCTGTTTTTCGGACGCAGCCAAAAGTAGTTGAACTTTTATTCTGCTTTTGTTTTTTTGGGGCTAGTAAATCTGATGAATGATATGTACGATTAGTCATCGTAAAATTGAAAATATAATCTTCTTATGACGAGATCGTCTGATGAGAATAACCGACAAGCATCAAGAACGATGAGAGATAGCCCATAAAATGTGTGAAATTACAAAAGCTTTCAAAATTTGATTTGTTTTTTGGGGGGGCTGGCATTTGAAATATAGCTAGCTAGAAATATGAACGGTTAAATTAATAGGGGCACAAGGTCGTAAAAGGTGTGATGCTTAGATTTCTATTTAGAAATAGCGATGTATCAACTGATTTAAGTCTTCAACAGTCTTTTTTGCTTATGGCATGTTTACGTTAGAGCTTTTTTCCGGGTTAACCTTTTTTATGAAGATTTATTTGAGGTATATGAAATGGAATTGACAATTTAAACCTACTGGGTTTTCTAAATCCTTTACAGCGTAAACGTACTATTATAGAGGATATCTGGCTAGATTTTGCGGATCTATATTGCAAGCTTTAAGAATAGTGAAATGCTATATCAAAAAAGTTGAAAAATTACGCCTTTATAGCTACCAATTCACAGTGAATTTAAAGTTGGGGGACTCTTAGGTCGACTTGTGATATATTAAATACTTTGGCCAGATACATACATAAAGAGCATATTTGGCTGGATTAACTCATCGGCTGGCTTCTTCGGAAATGAACAAAGGAGCCTAGGCCCAAAATCGAACTAAGTCAACCTAAAACTCCTTTGTTCATCTACGGAGAAGCCAGCCGGTGACTTAAGCCAACGAAATATGCTCTTTATGTATTTCCAGCCTAAGACGATTTAGCCCTGCCCGTCTGTTGTATTCATGCTAGAGTTAAAACGAATTAAGATAGGAAGCTAAAATTTTGCACAGATCAGTTTTTTGTGTGCAGGCAGGTCAAGTTCGAAGATGGGCTGTATCGGTCCACGATATCGAATGGACCCCATATAACGGTACCCCCCGATATTCGGTATTTTGATGATTTTGACCACATTTTTCAATCGAATAGTCTGAAATATAGGTCCACGATATCGTATATCCCCCATATAACGGCACCCCCGATATTCGGTATTTTGATGGTTTTAGGCACATTTTTCAATGGAATTTTCTGAAATTCTACACAATGAGTTCTCTGTGTGTGCTTTACCCCCTGAAAGAGAATTTTCTATATAGCTTTCGCCTTTAGGGCTATCAATTTATTGTGATTTTAATGTTGGGGGACTCTTAGGTCGACTAGTGACATATGAAATACTTAGGCTTAATGCCCAACTCTTGATATTTCCAACTTCTACATGTGTTTTTTCGCCATCACAACGAATATAGCATTTAACTCAGACTATAAATTATGGTGATTTCAACGTTGTAGGACTCTTAGGTCGACTAGACAACATGTTTTGGCTTAATGTCCAACTTTTGATACTTTTAACTTCTATATGTGCTATCAATTCACCGTGATTTCAACGTTGGGGGATTCTTAGGTCGACTAGTGACATATTAAATATTTGGCATAATGCCCAAGATAAGGTAGGGCTACCAGCTGATTACGATTTTTTTCTAAGTGTGCTCGACTTCTGCCAATTTTGTGTATGTATTTATTGTTTTTAAAAATAAAAACAAAATATTTTTAAAATCTATGATTGGAAGAAACTTACATTGCGGGGCACGCATTAAAGATATTAACCAGATTTGTCACGGAATTGAAAGATTGAACACTTAGGATCGTATTTTTCAAATAAGCGTTTTATGTATTCTCACCTTAAGATAATTTTTCTAGGTTAAGTCATCTGCTGACTTTTTATGTAACAAAATAAAGCCATTTAGGGTGACGTAGTTCGATTTCGCCCATTATTAGAGCTAGGAAGCAAACCTATGACATAGAAAAGTAGCAAGCATTGTACAATAAGTAAGTTGTTTTAAATAATTTAAATTTTGATAGTGCCGTACTCCTACAGAACTTAGATTAAATTAAGATACTTAAGTTGAGAAAACAAAAAACGCTTATTTGGGTGGCTCAAGTCATCGGCTGGCGTCTTTGGAAAAGAAGCAGGGAGCGTAGGGCCAAAAACCGAACTAAGTCAGCCTAATTCTCCTTAGTTTCTCTACGAAGAAGCCAGCCGATGACATAAGTCAGGCAAAAAGCGTTTTATGTATTCTAACATTTAGTTATAAAACTATTCTGATATAAAAATTAATTCAAAATAAATTCCTCCTTAGCTATTTAATAATAATTAAATGCCTGCAAGCCTGCAAAATCCATATCATTTCCAAACAAAAACTACATATTTTCTCACACAATATTTGATTATTTTTCCGAACGACGGAACCAAAAAATCGTTCCATTTTATAAAGCCATCTAAAAATAGCATTATTTGCTAATTTTTCAATTTTTATTTCATTTCAAAACACACATCTGGTTCATTAACAAAAATTATAAAAAAAAAAACAAACCATGAAGGCAGATCAACTTTCTGGCATCTAAAATAGGCAACAAACAAATGTGTTTTTATTTTGCAAAACATTTGAAAATATTTTTTTGTTTTTTTGGTACCAAAAAATCACACATTTCATGTTGGCCGCCTTGATAGGAAAACATAAAAGAAAAAAATAACATCAAAAAATCGTGAACCGGTAAAAATGAATTCGAAAAAAACACCTACACCGTTTTTTCTATTCATCACCTCAAGCCATCGAAGTAAGAAACCTGAATGAATGCCAATGCCATAATTGACTTGCGTAGTAATAATAGAGTATGACAGGGCTGCATTGAGAGTATGCTTCTTCTTATTCTTGTTATTCATGTATTTCTATGAATGAACGTAGCATAACGTCATATGTAGAAGTGGAAACATTTTTAGAGGGAAGTAGAAAAAGTAGGAAAAAAAGCGTGGGTCAAAAGTGGCATTGATCTTGCCATATCATTAACACCTGCTCAGCTTGGTTATATTTCTTTCAATGGCCATAAAAAAATGTTGCTGTAAAAATGAAAAAGAAAAAATACCAACAACGGAGGCGGATAAAAGAGCGGTATATTTTTGAAAAAAAAAAAAAGAACAGAGATAAATGAAGTTGGAATTTTGTTAAGAATGAAAAAAAGAGTAGTTTATGATGCTATAACAACCAACAGACCGCAGGTGCCGTATGTCCCGATTTTGCTAATTTGAACAATAAATTGCATTCGAGAGCCACAGACAAATCAGGGGCATTGTTTTTGGGAGAAGAAGACACTGGGGGAGACTTTAAAGGTGAGAGTACATAAAAGGCTTTTTTAACTGGCTTAAGTCATCGGCTGGCTACTGCGTAGATGAAAAATTCGAAAAGAACTATCCTTAAGCGGAAAAAGAACTATCCTTAACAAACTTCCAATAAGCAGAGCTCTTTAGGTGCAGATACTTAAGAAGACTTAAGGTGAGAATACATAAAACGCTTTTTTGACTGGCTTAAGGTGGGCATACATAAAGCGCTAATTTGACTGGTTTAAGTCATCGGCTGGCTTTTTCGTAGAGGAAGAAAGAAATTTTAGGTTGACTTAGTTCTATTTAAATAAAACGCTTTTTTGGCTGACTTCTTTGTAGAGTAACAAAGGAGTTTTAGGTTGACTTAGTTCGATTTTGGCCCTATGCTCTACGGCTGACCTCTTTGGCAAGTAAACACGATCGTTATGTTTGTTTACAAACTGCTGGACAACGAATGTTTTCTCATTGGAGAATACCAAATTCGGCAGTTCACCACTTTCGGCCAAGCGAAGCAACTCTTTCGCTCTTTTGAGTCTATTTTCTTTCTCTTTCTGTGGCGATGTATGTTCTTGCACTTTTTGGAATTTCAATGGCTTTACCCCGAGTTCATTTTTCAATATTTGCCGAATGGAATATTGCGAAATGTTCGGCACACGATCCAATTTTCGACCACTGCGACGGGGTTTCGATCAAGTCGCTTTCTTACTTATTGAACCATTTCTGCTACTGTTGCTGTTCTTCCGTCCACTTCGATTTACATAAAACGCTTTTTTGGCTGGCTACTTCGTAGAGGAACAAAGAAGTTTTAGGTTGACTTAGTTCGATTTTGGCCCTACGCTTCCTTGTTCTTTTCCGAAAATGCCAGCCGATGACTTAAGCCAGTCAAAACAGCGTTTTATGTATTTTCACCGTTAAGTCATCGGATGGCATCTTCGGAACAGAACAAGGGAGCGTAGGGCCAAAATCGAACTAAGTCAACCTAAAACTACTTTGTTCCTCTACGAAGAGGCCAGCCAAAAAAGTATTCTCACCTTTATTACTGGCTGAAGTCATCGGCTTGCTTTTTTTATTAGTTGATTTGTTATCGAAATGCATTTGAAATACTCTCTCTCTTCCTCTCTCTCTCTCTCGTAAATTTAAATTTATTTGATATTTAAAACATTTCCATTAAAATTTGACACCCCTGGCAATTTTTCATTGCCCCAATGGGAGACACAAACACACACACATCACACATACAAAATGTATCTAACAAGTGCTCTTTGGGTGCTTATGTTGGGCGCCATTCTGGTGATTAATGATGATTGGCTTATAATTGGTACACTGGCAAATCTTGTATATCATAAAACAGTAGTGGCAGTGGGTCTGTTCGAATGACAGCCCCTAATTCATATCCCAGCGGATGAGACAATAAAATAGAGATTTTTTAAAAATTCAAATAAAAAATTGACGGATTTTAGATGAATTAATGAGATGGCTACTGGGTAGTAAGGATTGATCGGACAAAGTCGCATTTTAATGTTATTCTTAATAAGATCTGTTAAGGATGGAACTTGACTCCTACACTCATCACAAGTGTAAAGGGGAGAATACATAAAAAGCCTTTTTTGAATGGCATAAGTCATCGGCTGGCTTCTTTGTAGAGGAGCAAAGAGTTTTAGGTTGACTTAGTTCGATTTTGGTCCTAGGCTCCATTGCTCATTTGCGAAGAAGCCAGACGATGACTTAAGTTAGTCAAAAAAAAAAGCGTTCTGTGTATTCTCACCTTAACTAAACATAGGTTAGTCGACATTTATGTTCTTTATTTATGATAACCCGAAATAAACACGAACAATAAATACTCTAAATGCATTGATAATATTTTTTTTCTAATTGGTATATGGTCGCCATAATGCTCTGTGTCCGGCAATAAAATCCATTGTTTATCTAAAACGCAGACATGTACCTGCAACCTTAAGGTGAAAATACATAAAATGCTTTTTGAGCGGCTAAAGTCATCGGCTAGCTTCTTCGGAAAAGAACAAAGGAGCAAAAAGCCAAAATCGAACTAAGTCACCCTAAAACTCCTTTGTTCTTTTCCCAAGATGCCAGCCAATGACATAAGCCAGTCAAAAAAGCGGGAAAGGGAAACTGTTTTCAATCAAATTAAATTTGAAATGAACAAATAATTTACAAAAATTAAAAACTTACCTGCTGGGCAACAGGATCTAAAATGCTTTCTATAGTTTTCGTGTGAAAAACTGGCATTTTGTTGTTCTCTCTTCAGTTACGCGCTCTCGTAAAACTGTAATTCTTCTTCTTCTTCTTAATCCAATGTCTTACTTAAAATTCTAATTTGTTTACGGAGTTGAGTGTAAAAATTTCGTTTCGCAATGTAGGCAATATTGTGGCTAATTTAGGAGGGGGAATTCAATGTTTGTGTGTGTTTTCGGGGGGGAATTTTTGTTTCGCTTCAAAAAATCAAAAATAAAATGGCTTCCTAAAATAAAACAAGGGGTGAACATTGAAGGTGAGATTTAGTTTTTTTTTTTGTTAAAAATAATTTATTTATGTCTAACAGTTTTTTTTGAAGTTTCAATATTGTTGTTGATATTACGATTTTTTTGTTTATTTTTTTTATTTCTCAGACGAAGTTGCATCATCTTTGCCATTACGTTATGATCAGCATTTAGTATTTTCTTCACAATTTTTGTTTAAATTTGGAATTGTTATTGTTTATTTGTTTTGTTTATAAATCTTGTTTTTTTCTTTCACAAACGCCATTATTTTTTTTATATTTTTTCTTTCTCTCTCTCTGTCTGCCACACAAATGCTGCTCTGCCACATAACTGATGTTGTTTGCCTGTTTCTCTTTGGTTCCATCTCCCTCTCTCTCTCAAATTTAATTGGAAAGAGCACACATTGTGTTGTTATTATCTCCATCGCCGTGATTTGCTAATTTGTATAAATTTAAGAAATTATGTCAGCTGTTAGTTGTGCGAGTTTTTTTTTTGTTTGTGAAAAATTAAATTTAGCAAAAAAGTATTTGTTTATATGGCAGACTTAATGCTATTTTTGCTATTTTTTCTTGGGAAACAAATTAAATTAGTTTCAATAAAGCAATTTATTATTTATAGGAGCATATGAAATACAGTGTTAACAAAAAGTGTTCACACAATTGAAATATAGATTTCAATTATCAAATATGAATTTAATTAATCATCCGATAATATCGATAGAAAAAAAAACAATCAATCAATCTATAAAGCACCGAATTTGCGAAATACCTAGACTATAGAAAAAAAAAACAATGAATGGTTCCTTCTTTAAACTACTTTCAGAAAAATAAAGGTAAAGGTGAGAGAACATAAAACGCCTTTCTGACTGTCTTAAGTCATTGGCTAGGTTCTTCGCAAAAGAACAAAGGAGCGAATGGACAAAATCGAACTAAGTCAACCTAAAACTCCTTTGTTCCTCTACGAAGAAGCCAGCCGATGCAAAAATGTAGCAGTTAACAATAAATCCTAATTACCTCACCATTCTATAATTCATCCATCCATGGCATTCAATGACATTCATAAAGGGCAGAGCCGTGTCATTTCTATGACCAACATTCAAGCATTGCAAGTTAATTCAATGGAATGACACAGAACACCCACTCGAACTTTGAAGTGCTGCTACTGGGAATTTCAATGACGCAGAGAATTTGTCATAAATAAAATTTAATTATTACGGATGATATTTGGTTCTCCCCTCAAATGCGAAACTTGAGAAAAAAAATCGGTGAATAATGTAGCTAAAATCATCAAAATACCGAATATAGGGAGCTGCCGTTATATGGGGCCTATACGAAGTAGTGGACATGCACAGACAATTTTCTGTCTTAGGCTGTAGTATCCATTATGAACTTCAAATACCAAATTTGAAACAATTCCGTTGAATAATATCGCTACAATCATCAAAATACCGAATATCGGGAGGTACCGTTGTATGAGGGCTATACGAAGACGTGGGCCTGTACAGATAATTTTCTCTCATAGGCTGTAGTATCCATTACGAGCTTCAAATACCAAATTTGAAACAAATCCGGTGAATAATGTCGCTAAAATCATCAAAATATCGAATATCGGGAGGTACCGTTATATGGGGGCTATATGAAGAAGTGGGCCTGTATAGATAATTTTCTGTCAGAGGTTGAAGTATTCATTACGAACTTCAAATACCAAATTTGAAACAAATCCGGTGAATAGTGTCGCTAAAATCATCAAAATACCGAATATCGGGAGGTACCGTTATATGGGGGCTATACGAAGCCGTGGACATGTAAAGACAATTTTCTGTCTCAGGCTGTAGTATCCATTACGAATTTCAAATACCAAATTTGAAACATTTTCGGTGAATAGTGTCGCTAAAATCATCAAAATACCGAATATCGGGAAGTACCGTTATATGGGGGCTATATGAAAACATAGACCTGAAAAGACAATTTTCTGTCATAGGCTGTAGTATCCATTGCGAACTTCAAATACCAAATTTGAAACAAATCCGGTGAATAATGTCGCTAAAATCATCAAAATACCGAATATCGGGAGGTACCGTTATATGGGGGCTATACGAAGCCGTGGACATGTAAAGACAATTTTCTCTCTCAGCCTGTAGTATCCATTACGAATTTCAAATACCAAATTTGAAACATTTTCGGTGAATAGTGTCGCTAAAATCATCAAAATACCGAATATCGGGAAGTACCGTTATATGGGGGCTATATGAAAACATAGACCTGAAAAGACAATTTTCTGTCATAGGCTGTAGTATCCATTGCGAACTTCAAATACCAAATTTGAAACATTTTCGGTGAATAATGAAGCTAAAATCATCAAAATACCGAATATCGGGAGGTACCGTTATATGGGGGCTATATGAAAACGTGGACATTAAAAGACAATTTTCTGCCTTAGGCTGTAGTATCCATTACGAACTTCAAATACCAAATTTGAAGCAAATCCGGTGAATTATGTCGCTAAAATCATCAAAATACCGAATATCAGGAGGTACCCTTATATGGGGGCTATACGAAGATCTGAGCCTGCATAGACAATTTTCTGTCACAGGCTGTAGTATCCATTTCGAGCTTCAAATACCAAATTTGAAACAAATCCGGTGAAGAATGTCGCTAAAATCATCAAAATATCGAATATCGGGAGATACCGTTATATTGGGGCTATATGAAAACGTAGACCTGAAAAAACATTTTTCTGTCATAGGTTGAAGTATCCATTACGAACTTCAAATACCAAATTTGAAACAAATCCGGTGAATAGTGTCCCCAAAAATCATCAAAATACCGAATATAGGGAGGTACTATTATATGGGGGCTATATGAAAACGTAGACCTGCATAGACAATTTTCTGCCTTAGGCTGTAGTATCCATTACGAACTTCAAATACCAAATTTGAAACAATTCCGGTGAATAATGTCGCTAAAATCATCAAAATGCCGAATATGTGGAGGTACTATTATATGGGGGCTATATGAAAACGTGGACATTAAATGACAATTTTCTGTCATAGGTTGAAGTATCCATTACGAACTTCAAATACCAAATTTGAAACATTTCCAGTGAATAATGTCGCTAAAATCATCAAAATACCGAATATCGGGGGGTACCGTTATATGGGGGCTATATGAAAACGTAGATCTGAAAAAACAATTTTCTATCATAGGCTGTAGTATCCATTAAGGACTACAAATACCAATTTTGAAACATTTCCGATAAATAATGTCGCCAAAAATCATCAAAATACCGAATATCGGGAGGTACTATTATATGGGGACTATACCAAAACGTGGACCTACATGGGCCATTTTCGATACCAAATGTTCTGCAGTCATTATATACATTTGTGTAAAATTTTACCAACCTTCTTCAATTCGTTCGGAAGCTAGAGTGATTTCCACAGACGGCCGGACATGGCTAAAACGACATAGAATTTTATGCTGATGAAGATTATATATACTTTCGCGGGGCTTAAAATGTATATTTCGAGGTGTTACAAACGGAATGATAAACCTAATATACCTCCATATTATGGTAGAGGGTATAAAAATGCAACCCTCAACATTTTGTGAATTCTTTTCTTTTTTGAATTGCAAATCTCCTCTCGACCCCAGCCATTGTATGACCCTCATCGAAAAAGAAAGGAGGGTCTCTATAAAACCCAATCTGTTTTTCCCGCTCAAAATCTTTCTACTTTGCCCGTGTGTACGCAAATATTAATTTGTGCTATTGCCCAGCCCTAAATATGGGCTAGCTATGGAATGTATGAACCGTAAATATAAACAATTTTGTAACAATTGCAGTGCAGTTCCGATATTTTACGAGCAACGTCGCCGTCGACATCTGACTATTGTTTGAAAGTGAAAAATAAATTGAAATGGTGCAGACAAAGACAAGCAACCAACGCCAGCTACCAGGCAGACTATTACAATGTCTGGTGCTGGAAATGACAACCATGCCATGACAGCAATAATGCACTTATAATTAATTATGCAATTTATTTAAATTGAATACTAAGCTGAAAATTCCACGGGGACGGGGGAGGATGAAATGGAAATTTGATTAAAAATTAAAAAAAAAAAAAAAAAAAAATAAAAAAAAACTATTTCCTAATTGCATTGAAAACTTATTATTTTTAATGAAAAAAAAAATTCAATTTCAAGGGGTATAAAGGGTTTCAAAATTATTTTCAAAACCAGATTCTTGAATGCCAATATTGAAACAAGTAAAATTGTATCATTCGGTTTTGTCGACAGATATATACGCCCAGCCTTGAGTTATGATTATTCAAACTGTTGACCCTTTATGGGCGAGGTTCCGTTGGAGCCGTTGGCCAATATTGAGCAATTCTTAACTGACCCAAGACTGATAAAAATATTACAACCTACCAGATTTGGACTATATCGACTACTTCCTATATTTTAAACATATAAGAGATATGGGCAAATTTTTGGAAAATGTGGAAATGTGCGTGAGGTAACAAATATAGCGGACCGAAGTATTCCATTTTCATACTTTATTTGTACACAGATAAAAATATTGGTATGTGCAAAATATGTAGGAAATCGAATATAAGTTTTGAAAATTATGAGCCTTTGTAGGTGAGGTACCAGAAGTGGTTGGCAGATAGCTATCTATCTTCACAATAGATTTTGGTTTGGATATATAAAATTTGAAGAGAGTTGGGTTCTCATTTCGCGTTTTGTTTTTCTAAAATTTAAACCTACTATGGGGGAGGTACAAGAAGGAGTTCGCCGATATATTCCATTTTCACAGCAGATCTTGTGTTAGTAAAAATAATGGCATGTGGGAAATATGAAGAAAACCAGATACTTATTTCGAATTTTATAATCGTTTTTGGTTATTCAAAACTTTGACCATTTGTGGGGGAGGTACCAGAAGGAGTGGTCCGATCTCTACCATATTTATAAGAGATCTTGTG